ACTATAGTCTCGTCTATATTCTGGACTATAGTCTCGTCTATAATCTGGACTGTAGTTTCGTCAATAGTCTGGACTATAGTCTTGTCTACAGTCTTGTGTATAGTCTGCAGTATATTCTCGTCTATAGTTTGGACTATAGTCTCGTCTATAGTCTGGACTATAGTATCGTCTATCATCTTTACTATAGTATCGTATATAGTCTGGACTATACAATAGTTGATCTAGATATTGTATCCTAAAGTTGGATATACTTCAGTTTTTGGCCATGTTTAGGATGTTATAATAGCGCTGAGACATCTTCATTTAATCTATTCTAATCTGTCGACTTTAAAATAAAGGAACCGACTTAATCCTTTAGAGAAGTATACACTTCGATTCTTTTTTCAAGTTTTTGTTCGCCTGTGTGAAATTGGGCATCGCGATATAGTATTAAATAGGATCGGTCCATAATCGACCTTAGGTCTTTTATTGCTATTCCTCAAAATTAAAAATCCCATTATAACTCAAACCTATAACTCCTTTCATATTAATATCGATAATAAAATTAGATATTAGTAAATTACTTTCAATTAAATAATTCCAAGAATTTTTATGACCTCTCTGGTGGTAGCCTATGCTGGACTCACGAATATATAGAGGAAACAATAAAAATTGCGTAAACATAACTTTTCCCGTTAAAAACTGCATATTTCAAATTCTTTAACAAATTATTTAATAACTTGAAACCACAAGGTCATTTGAAGGTTGTATATTTAATATAAAAATTTTATATAATTATATTACAAATAGGAAATACATACCTTAACAGTTAATATTGTTGTTATCTAAGCTACTTTTTCATTTTGTAAATATATCGTCTACACAGAAAGAAAATTAGCATTAAAAATTTCTTACTTAAAATAAGTACAAATTTATATTAATTAAATATATCAAGCAAAGAAGTTAGCAAAGAATCTAGACTAGTTGGTAGTGTACTAGCTTATCTGTCTGGGATTTCTGTACTTGTTTGAGAAAATTATTATTACTATATTTTGAGTGTATATCTATTTAAGGCACATTTTTACACCCACGAAATATAAGTAAGCAATTTATAGAAAATTCACTTCACTTACTTAATAAATCATTACATTATGATGTTTAACGAGTTTTTAAGTTTTCATGACATATTGTCACCTTAATCAGCTAAAGTAGTGGGTTGAATTAGAGTCCCAACAAAAACTTGCATTGGAGGCTATAATTTAATATGCTCGCTTATAAATAGGTAGTTTAATAAGTCATTACCAGTCTTGCTAGGTCGACAATGCTACGAAACTGGAATTTCATGTTTATAGTTCGCTACAATATGTATTTTCCTTTCTATGTCTATAGTAATACATATATTTTTAATTTTCTTTTCAGATAAATAAAATCTATGCTAATTAAATGAAAATTAGGTAAGTCCTAATTTTAATTAAATTTTAAAAATTTTAAAAGTACGTTTTGTTCATTTCCCTACTTGACCTTCAATTGATAGACCTATTTCAAATTTTATTTTTTTTTAAATTTTTCATAATTATTTATTTAAAAATGCAGGTTGTAATCTTCACTATTTTTTACCAAATACCCTTGTATTATTGCAAATTACACTTGTGTCTGTGTATTGTTTTAATTCATAAAAAACACATCACGTAAAATTGTGCACTTTTGGTCAAATTATTTTATACAAGGTGACCGACCATCGGTTTACTATTTCTACTAGTTAACGAAATTAGGTTAAATTCAATTTGATTAATTTAAAATTTTAACACAAATATTTTTATATTTTTTTTCGGAATAGTTTTTGAAAAACTATTTTGAAATCTTAAAAAAAATATATATAATAAAAAATTATCCCTAGAGAAATTGGAAACTGATACCATATTAGGCCTCTGATGGCACTTTTAGCACAGCGAATGTTTTTTATTTAATATTGTTTAGAAATGTTCAGAACCTTGTCACTGTAAGTTTCTGAAATAGGGTTAAGTCCTGTCCATAAACTGCTATATAGTATAGACTAGAATTTAGTCTATAGTCTGGACTATAAATTGTACACAACTGCAGTCGGACTATTGTTTACTACAGACTGGATTATAGTCTGTACTACCGTCTTATCTATAATCTCGATTATAGTCGGGTCTTAAGTCAAGTCTATGGTCCATGATCTTAGTATATAATCAGCAATATAGTCTAGACTATAATGTGAACTACAGATTAGAATGAAATATAATCTAGTCTCTAGTCTGGACAAAAGTCTTATCTATATCCTAGACTATAGTCTAATCTATTCTATAGTTTGAATTATAGTCTGATATATAGTCGGTCCTATAGTATAGACTATAATGTTGTCTATAGTCTGCACTGTAGTCTATTCTAAAGAGGTATTTCCATGGTCTATAGTTTAATATTTAGTATTTCCAAATTCTATAGCCTAGTCTGGACTATAGTCTTATTAATAGCCTGGACTATAGTCTATGTACTATACCCCAGTCTCTAGTCTAAACTGTTTGAAATATAATCTAGTCTCTAGTCTGGACAAAAGTCTTATCTATATCCTAGACTATAGTCTAATATATATTCTGGACTGTAATCTATTCTATAGTTTAAATTATAGTCCAATATATAGTCTGTCCTATAGTATAGACTATAATGTTATCTATAGTCTGCCCTGTAGTCTATTCTATAAACTTTGGTACTTCCATGGTCTATAGTTTAATATTTAGTATTTCCAAATTCTATAGCCTAGTCTCTAGTCTGGACTATAGTCTTATCAATAGCCTGGACTATAGTCTTTGTAATAGTCCAGTATATAATCTGGACTATAATCTATTCTATGGTCTAGTCAGTAGTCCGTCCTATAGTATAGTCTTCTCTGTAGTCTATTCTATAGAGTTTGATACGTTCAACTTCTCTGGAAGCCACTAAGATAAATAGATTTCTTGGCAACTAATAGGGTTCTATAGTTGAAACGAAAAGTCGACTTTTCGACTTTTTGTATTTTATGAAAAGTCGATTTGTCGACTTTTTTCATTTAGTTAAAAGTCGACTTTTAGACTTTTAGTATTTTATAAATAGTCGACTTTTTCCGACTTTTCGAATTTTTCCGACTTTTCTATTTTTTCGACTTCTTTCGACTATTTTTTTACTTTTTTCGAGTTTTCCGACTAATTTAGAGTTTTTGACTTTTTTTCCACTTTTTTAAAATTTACGACTATTTTTGACTTTTTTCTACTATTTTCGAGTTTTCGACTTTTTCCGACTTTTCGACTTTTTTCGACTTTTCGACTTTTATTTACAAAGTCGACTTTTCGACCTTTTTCATAGACGATAGTAGAGTTATCAACTTTTTTGGAACAAAATAGTCGACTTCGACTTTTTTCGACAAAAAGTCGATTGTTCGATTATTCGAAAGTCGATTTATAGAACCCTAGCAACTATGTACAATATATACAAGTTTGATAAGTTATCTAGTTCTAGACTCAATGACCTACTGAGATCTTTCTTGGCTTCAGATTATAGCTAATATTTCACTAATATAGCACATCATCATGTCGATAACTAAATACCTGACGAATGGCGTGGTCTTGTCAAAACGATCTTGTTTAAATGAAAATCTATAAGGGGCTCTTTGTTCTTGAACTGGTACTATGAAAATACCTTTTGAATTGTTTTGAAATCTGTTGTAGTTGCTGAGATATTATCCGTTAACGGACGGACGGACAGACATGATTAAGTCGAATCAGTAAGAGATTTTGAGTCGTTTGGAACATCGTCGGTTAGATGTGGATCCTAGATATTTGTTTTTTATAAACAATGTTTAACAATAGTTGAACAATAGTAGTTCATGAATATACCAAAAGCCTTTTTTAAAGCCAATGAAGTGGACTTTCAGATGGCTTACAAGATTTTACAAATTAAGTTGTCTTGGCGCTGTTATAACGTCTCAAAAATGGCGTTTTCTCAAATTTCAGGACACGATATCTCAAATCCCAGATGATGTACATTGCTCAATCCTTTAGAAACGTCTAGCTTAGTCTCGACTTTTTTCAAATTTTGTCGTCCTGTATAATCTTTCTTTCTAATGATATCTTGGTACTGATCCGGATTGATTGAAAATGTTTTTGGTACTTTTTTCATTCTTCAAATGGTGCTTTTTGAGAACCAAGACGGTCCTAGTTGAATGACAATATAATTTTTCTTCAAAAAGTATTTTTAAAATGTTCTTTACTATAGAACCAAAATATATGAAATTAAGCATGAACGGTCCTGACTGAATAAGATTCTATAAGAGGCTACCTTTTGGTACTTTTTTTACCTTCAAAAATAGTACTTTTTACATTTTCTACAGAGGAGTTCCTGATGGTATGAAATTCTATAAGAAATTACTCTTTGTTAGTTGTTCGTCCTTCATATAGTACTTTCACAGACAGGGTCCAGACTGAATGGGAAACTCTAAGAAGGAAGTATTTGGTACTTTTCACTTTTCAAATGGTACTTTTTCAATTTTCTATAATATAGAATCTAGAAATTTGAAATTTAACATATAGAATCCAGAGCGAACGAAAAATCTATAAAAGGGGACTTTGAGAGTATGTACAGCAACGTAAAGGTAATAACGATTAGGCCAGCGAAGCACTCCGGGCACATTAGTTATTTATATAAATTTTATCAATTGTTTGATTTCATTTAAATGCAACTTATTTTAAATATTTCATGAAGGGTATTTTAAATTCGGTCCCGGTATAAAACTCACTCAATTAATTTGTTAAATTTTATTTGTATTGCAGTTTCTTTTTAATATATTTCTTTATAAAAAGTTACGCTTGAGATATTTTGTAATCTTGTGCCAAGATTTATGATGAAAAAAAAAAAATTAAAAAAAAAAATATTTGTTTTTATCTTTTTTAAATGTTACTCACAAGGCAGGTTTAAGACCAACAAAAAAAATATATATATGAAAAATTCAGCAAATAAATCCAACTCACCTTAAAATATATATAAAAGATGAAAAATTATAGAAAGGAAAATGTTGTCTTATAGGTTTAGTAATCCAATTTTGAAACAATAGTTATCTGCCACAGTGTTGAAATTTTCTTTAAAATAAAATATAAATTAAATTGATTTATGAAATTTTTGTTTTTATCACACTTTTTTTCTACAAAATTTATTTATAAAGTAAAAAAAAAAGAAAATTAAAAAAAGAAACAAGAAACACGCTCACACACTCATTAAACAAAAGAAAATGGCTAAATGTTAAAGAAAAAGAGAGAAAATTTTTTTCTTTTGTAATTTTATTTTTATAAAAAATTTTTTATTTTTTTATATAATTTCTTATAAAATTAAAAAATTTATTTTTTTATATATTTTATTAAATATTTTTGTTTTTCTTTCTTTTTATAAAAATTAAATTAATTTATTTCTTTTTGTTAAAATTTTTCTCAGCTCACTTTTTTTTCTTAATTTTTCTTTTCTGTTTTACAAAAAAAATGTTGGTTTTTCCAACAACTATTTAGGAAATTTGAAACAATGCGTTGACGTTTTTAAAAACCGTTCACTTGACTGCTCATTTGCAGACTAAATTAGTCGTTTTGTTGGCCAACTTCTTGTTGGCTTTATTTTCAATTTGTTATGATTTGTCATTTGACTCTATAGAGGAATTTCAGCTGTTGTTTCAGCGCTTAAGCCTCTCTTCTCTGGCTGCCTCACAGCACAGCAAGTAAATTCAAACTCTTTCTTATTCATTTCAAGTTAAAGAAATCAAGTATAAAAACTATAAAAAAAGTACTATTATGAAGAGCCAGGCATGGAAAAATCAGTACTAAAGTACCTTTTTCAGTACTTCTTGATACTTAACTTCTAGTCTATCGTTTAGTATTTATATCTAGTCTATAGGCCAGTCTATAGTCCTCTATAGTGCAGTCTATAGTCCAGCCTATAATCCAGTCTATAATCCAGTCTATAGTGCAGTCTAAAGTCCAGTCTATAGTCCAGTCTATAGTCCAGTCTATAGTCCAGCCTATAATCCAGTCTATAGTCCAGTCTATAGTCCAGTCTATAGTCCAGTCTATAGTCCAGTCTATAGTCCAGTCTATAGTCCAGTCTATAGTCCAGTCTATAGTCCAGTCTATAGTCCAGTCTATAGTCCAGTCTATAGTCCAGTCTATAGTCCAGTCTATAGTCCAGTCTATAGTCCAGTCTATAGTCCAGTCTATAGTCCAGTCTATAGTCTAGTCTATAGTCCAGTCTATAGTCTAGTCTATAGTCTAGTCTATAGTCCAGTCTATAGTCCAGTCTATAGTCCAGTCTATAGTCCAGTCTATAGTCCAGTCTATAGTCCAGTCTATAGTCTAGTCTATAGTCCAGTCTATAGTCTAGTCTATAGTCTAGTCTATAGTCTAGTCTATAGTCCAGTCTATAGTCCAGTCTATAGTCCAGTCTATAGTCCAGTCTATAGTCTAGTCTATAGTCCAGTCTATAGTCTAGTCTATAGTCTAGTCTATAGTCTAGTCTATAGTCCAGTCTATAGTCTAGTCTATAGTCTAGTCTATAGTCTAGTCTATAGTCCAGTCTATAGTCGTCTATAGTCCAGTCTATAGTCCAGTATAGTCAAGTCTATAGTCCAGTCTATAGTCCAGTCTATAGTCCAGTCTATAGTCCAGTCTATAGTCCAGTCTATAGTCCAGTCTATAGTCCAGTCTATAGTCCAGTCTATAGTCGTCTATAGTCTAGTCTATAGTCTAGTCTATAGTCTGTCTGTAGTCTAGTCTAGTCTATAATCTGTTTAATCTGTTATAATCTGTTTATAGTCTGGTCTATAGTCTAGTCTATTCTAATTCTAGTCTATAGTCTAGTCTACGGTCTATTCTAAATTCTAGTCTATAGTCTAGTCTACGGTCTAGTCTATAGTCTAGTCTATAGTCTAGTCTATAGTCTAGTCTATAGTCTAGTCTATAGTCTAGTCTATAGTCTAGTCTGTAGTCTAGTCTATAGTCTAGTCCAGCGGTTCCCACCGTTTTTTACTTCGCGGACCCCTTGAGGAATTTATTTAATTTCACGGACCCCCATACATATTTTGATATCTTATTGTTATAAAAAACACTGTGATACAAAAGTGAAGAAAATGCAGCCGTTCTCATATACCAATTCTATTTCGTTATAGTCCATAGAGTACGAATATATTTTTAGTTTTCCCCTATCTCTTCGTTAAATTACTTTTTAAGAGCAAAAGATGCGAAAAAGAGCCATTTTTGAAGTTTTAAATTTGAAAAATCATAAGTTCAGTAGTTTTCATCCGATTTTCAAATCCGATATTTTTTTAATGATACAAGTGTTGCCTTTTAATCCAAAAAAAGAAATCCAAAATTTATGGTCAAATGTCTGAGTTACGGTCGTTTAAGTAAAAAAACTCACACTTTTTTAAAAAATGTTCATTTTCATCATGCTCTACTTTGGCCATGAGGCAGTGAGTTCATCTTTTATTACTTTCCTGAAGAATCAGATAAATGAAGGTTTCTAAAACTTGTTATTTAATAAAAATCTATGAAAAACTGGATGATTTATGCCAATTTTTCTAATAGCATGTTCCTCGAATTTTTGGTTTTCTCCATACAAATTAATTTTTATATAAAAATGTTTATAAACATTTTTTAAACTTGTTACAAAGAAAACCAGAAACATGAACGTTTTTGTATGGAAGAAATATGCTATATTTTATAAAACTTAGCACAACTCATAACCTTTTTCATCGATTATCATAAATTGACCATCATTGGAAACCCAACTTAATGTGCCTTTTTTCAAATGTAATAAAAGCTAAAGTTACTGCTTCATGGCCAACGTAGAGCAGTATGAAAATTAAAAATTGTGAAAATTGTGGCCGTAACCAAGACATTAATCATAAATTTTGGATTTTTTTTTTTGGGTTGAAAGACAACACTTGTATCTTTAAAACAAAATATCCAATTTGAAAATCGGTTGCAAACTACCAAACATATATATTTTTTTAAGTTAAAACTTCAAAAATAGCTCTTTTTCACATCTTTTGCTCTTAAAAAGGAACTAAACGAAGTGATCGGGAAAAATTAAAAATATATTCCTACTCTATGGACTATAACGAAATGGAATTGGTATATGAGAACCCCTGCATTTTTTTGCTGTATCACTGTGTAATTGTTCGTCCGAAAATTGCCTTAGTCCTGGTCCATAAACCCGTACATTGAGAATATTTAGTATTTCGGAAATGTTTTCAATTGCATGGTTTTAAATATATGTAGATTGACTTCTAACATGATGTTTAATTTTATGATCGTGAGAGCTTTCATGTTCATTTCTCGTCAAGGTAGCGAAAAGGTTTCTTTATCAAGTATTGTCGACATGTGCTTAAAGAGTCATGTTTCTAAATTTTTTTGCGATTGCATAGGAGTGAGCTGAGTATGTAAGCTAAGTTTTCGGGAAAATATGTGAAAGTTAGACTTCTTCGATGTTGTTGAGGAATGCGTTACCCACATAAAATATGACATGAACTCTTTGCGAATGTACTGTGAATTTGGATCTTAAATTTGAATTTTAAAATACCTACGAATTATTTTAATGCGTGGTTTTGACTATTTACGCAAAACGCTATGAATTTTCTGATGTTGATTTAATAATATTGGACAACAAAATGAAGTTAAAATCTGTGTATCACGTCGGAATGGAATATTTATATTTAAAATTAACTAGATTAACACTTTTGCTTACAATTTAAAAAAAAATATTATGAAATGTGACCTAACCTCATATTCCGCGATACCAGTATCAGTATTTAATTCTAAGGCAAATCATTATCCGTCTGCTATAAAAACATTTATTTCGATACATATACATTTATAAAAATTACAAATCACGTAATACTTTACTTTATAAAAGTGAAACAATAAATTTGTAGGGCCTAGCTTCATCCTGATAAACGACCGAAACAATAAAATTCAAAGAGTCACCAACAAATCTGGGATTATTGAATAAAAATTGTGTATTTTAGTATTTATGAAAAATTTGGAGATATTTTTAATATTTTCTAACATATAGAGAATATTTTTTATTAATGATTTTTTTCGTTTGTCTTCGCGGACCCCCTAGGATTTTGCTACGGACCACTAGGGGTCCGCGGACCCCCTTTTGGGAACCGTTGGTCTAGTCTATTGTCTAGTCAATTTTCTAGTCTGTTGTCTATGTCTAGTCTATTCTCTAGTCTATTGTCTAGTCTATTGTCTAATCTATAGTTTAGTCTATAGTTAGTCTATAGTCTAGTCTATAGTCTAGTCTATAGTCTAGTCTATAGTCCAGTCTATAGTCTAGTCTATAGTCTATTGGACTAGACTATAATCTTGTCTATAGTGTAGTCTACTCCTTTGGTTTAGTATATAGCCGAGTCTATGCTATAGTATAGTGTATATGCTATATTATAGCATTTAGTTTAGTATATAGACTAGTCTATTGTCTAGTCTATAGTCTAGTTTATAGTCTCGTCTATTATCTTGTCTATTGTCTAGTCTATTGTTTAGTCTATTGTCTTTTCAAAAGTCTCTTCTATAGTCTAGTCTATATTCTAGTATATAGCCTAGTTTGCAGTCTAATCTAATCTTCTTTCAAACCTAAACCTATATTTTTTTTTATGAGTTGGTACTATTTCAATATTTCAATTTTCCATGCCTGATGCAGAGTGTACTTGTTGTTAATAATAATTGAATTTTGTTTCAGTTTTCCTGCGCAGGCGCAACTTTTGTTTCTCTTTAGTTTTTGTAGTTATGCTCTTAAATTTTGCTTTTGTATTTATTTATTTTTTTTTTTTTTTTTGATTTGTTATTTTGTTTTTATTAATATTCTTTGCACGTTTTTCTTTTATTATTTTTTGTGTGAGTGTGTTTTTTTGTATCTTTTTCCATTCCTCAATATTCTGCAATCGTATTTTATTTTGTCTATTTTACAGTTGGTGTCTCCTTCTTAAGTTTTTCTTATATACTTTATACATATTTTTTTCTTTCAAAATAAATATTTACTTTACATTTAATAAAAATTTAATCCATGTTTTTTTTTCTCCTTCTTAATTTGTATTATTTCATTTGTATGTCGTTTAACAGGTTTTACTTTTTGACGATTTTTTGTATTACTTCTTTTATTTTTTCCGTTTATTTTTATTTAAATTTTGCAAATCTTTATTTCGTGAAAAAAAAATTTAAAATTGTATAAGTTTTTTTTATGGTAAAGTGGAAAAATTTTTTGGTTATTTAAAATTTTTTTAATTTTCTTGATAATTTGTTTGATTGCTTTAAATTCCGTTGGCAATTTTTTGCCTCTATATAAATACCAAGATTTGTAATTATCTCAAGAATTAAAGGCATAAGCAAATAAGGTAAATAAAATGGCAAATTATAAAAATTTAATTGCTTTTGAACACTTAAGAATTTTCCATAACAAATAAGATAATTAAAGACAAAAAACAAAAGACACCAATAAAATAATAATAAAAACAATTATCAAAAAACTTATAGATAGATAGATAGTAGATAGAGATAGATAGATAGATGATAGATAGATAGATAGATAGATAGATAGATAGATAGATAGATAGATAGATAATAGATAGATAGATAGATCGATGATAGATAGATATAGATAGATAGATAGATAGATAGATAGATAGATAGATTCTCTCGCTC